AATCAATATTGATGAAAAGAAAGAAGTCAGAAAACTGACATTGTCCAACTTGAAGATTTACTATACAATTCCAGTAATCATCATGGTCTGGTGTTGGCAAAAGAACAGACATGTGATCCAACAGAGAGCTCACAAAGAGATCTAAGCAAAGAATCATTTACATTAACAAAAGAACAAAGTTAATTCAATAGAAAGGAGGAGGTTTTCAACAAATGGTGGTAGAAAAGTTGGGCAGTGATGGAAAAAATAATTATTGCCCTTAATACGGATGCTGACCCCACAACCTTAACAAAACTCAATATATATCAAATTCCTAAATATAAAATATCAAGCTATAAAACTTGCAGAGAAGTAGAAAAACAAGTAGAACCAACAGAACATCGAGGAAGATACAGAGATGGTAAATAAGTCTGTGAAATATATTCAATGTGATGTATTATGTTGTAAATAAAAACAATCATGGGATACCAATATATGATATCAGAATGGCTTAAACGCAGAAAGTTTGCGATACCAAATGTTGTTGAAGAAGTAAAATGAGAGGCATTGTCTTCGTTTTCAGCGAGAGTACAAAACAGTGCAGCGTCTTTGGAAGTTTCTAGGAAAAGCTAAACACAGTCTTACTGTATGGCCCAGCAAATAGTTCCCTGGGATTACACCGGAATGAGCTTGAAAATTTCTGTCTGTACACAACTTTGCACATACATGTTTTCACTAAACTTATTCATACCCACTAGAAATCCGAAGCAAGCAGATATCTATCAATAGGTTAATGGATAAAGTATGGCTGAGTATATATCTTCAGTGAGATAGCTTTGTGTGAGAGAAAGAAATAATCTATTAAACCAATAGACATGTTGAGGTATCTTAATTGTGTATTTCTAAGACAAATACAAAATCTAGAAAGTCTATTTAGTCTATGATTCTAATACATGGCTTTCTAGAAAAGTCGAAACTGTATAGAAAAAGTAAAATTATCACGGTTTCAAAGGCACGTGGAGAGGATAAATGGATGGATCACACGGGACATATGTGGCAATGAAACTGCCCAGATTCGGTCATGGTGAATAAATGACATTATGCATTTGTCATAACCCATAGAACTATAACAACACCAATAGTGATTCCTAATTCAGACGATGGGTGTGGCTAACAGTAATACATCAATATTGATTCTTCAACCGCAACAAATGAGGTACAGTAATGCAAGTCACTAATACATATGGGAAATGATGAGGGTTGTTAGAATAAGGGAACTTTACAGCTTTGGCTCAGGTTTTCTGTAAAATCCAAACTGCTATTAAAAATAAAGCCTATTAATAATATATTTTAATGTAAGTAGAAGGACTCAGTCTTGTAGTATATAAATTATATTCTTAGAAGAAGAAATGAAAAGAGTATTAACACTGAATTCCTATGTGACTTAACCAAGGGATATGACACATTTTATAGATTCTATCCTTTACAGTTCTTTCAGATTTAGAGTTCTAACAGAGGTTTTGCCCCCATATGTTTTTAGCACGTGTGTATTACAGACCCCACACAAACAAGAATGCTTCAGAAAAATTTATCATTTGTACAAAGTGAGCCTGGAATTTTTTGTTTGGTTTGTAGGTGATAATTGGCTTATTTCGATCAATCCGTGTTTTTCCCAAATTGATCTGCAATTGTAAATTAGACCTCTGGCTGTGGTTAGGAATGACCTGGAGGCCAATAAGCTCAGAGGATACTTGCAGATCCCTTCACACAGATTCCACTAGGAATCACATCCTCCTGTGAGAACTGTCCTTCAAAATAAAGAAGCCCCAAGAGAAACGGATGGCCTTAACTACTCCACGCATTCAAGCTAATTCCCCATTCCCTCTCATGCACACCTACAAGAGCTTTGCCAAAAGAAGCTTATTTATTAATACCTTAAAGAACAAGACAGAACTGAAATTCCATTTACAGAAAATCAGAAATTTCAGTGTGGTTTTCTGTAACATTTATAAAGTTAAAAGCTAAATATACAACTATATCTTTTATCTTGGGATCTTCCCTGGTATTTGATTTACTTTCTCTTACTGTACAAAGTTGGACTGGGTGTTTTGTGGGCATATCTATACAATACTGTGCCTAAGAGAAGAAAATGAACTTTTAGAGTTTGAAATTATTCAGGGAAACTCTGATTCTCAGTTTCTTGGATTAATCACTGTGTCTGAAATGTGAGGTTCTGTGGTTGGCCCAACTTGATCACTGAACTCCGATCTATCCAGGGAGTGATGTATTATTGCTGTGAGTGATCACAAAACTGATAAGCCACTGGGGACTCCACGAACAAGGCAGTGTCAGCCTTTGGAGTTTTCTCCAGTGTTTCTTCTTCTTTTTTCCATTCTTTAAAGACGTATATTTAGAATTTTCTCTGTGTATGTTCATCCTCCTGTTTTTAGGACAACTGTGTTTTCTTTTCTAAATTCTGCATTTAAAAACCATATTAAAGAAGACCATTCCATACTGTACATTTTGTCACTTTCTAGTAAGTCTTTATTTGTCCACATTAAGTTATAATGTGATCATTCCATTCTCCTGCCTTTTCTTCATTGATTTCTACCCTAATTTTGGCCTCCACAGATAGTATCACTAAAGTTCCTTATCCTCTGGCTTCTAGCATTGTTTTGCAGAGGCAGAATCAGAGAGGAGGAGAGACAATGCTTTCATTATCTATAAATATTTTTGGATTAAATTCTTCAGTTAACTCTTAAATGTTCCCTGCTGGGTCTCCCGAGTAACACATAATTTAAAGCAATTAAAAATACTTAATCTGATAGTTTTGGTTCTCTTTGACTGCAAGCAAAGCCAGGACAGTTTCAATATGATTGATTCTAGAAAGGTAGCACATTGTAGAAGTTGTAAAGTTCATTAAGTAATTTAGAACTGGTTTTATTTTGGTTTCTCTTGTTTCAAGACATCAAATTTATTTCCAGTTCCTTTTGTGTTTCTTATCTCCACAGAAACTCTTTATTTATACACAATTTACAGGTAGCAAAATTAATGCTTTTTAAAAAGACATTTTAGTAGTTTTGGCAAATTTCCATACTTTCCCAACCAACAAAAAAATCATGATGATCATTTAATGAGGGGATGAAAATGGTCCACAACCCATGATTATCCAAGCCTTGGCAACCAGTGACTTATGTCTGCCCTGTATAAGATTCAACACTGCTTTATTGAGACATAATTCCCATACTCACCTGCTTGAACAGTACTATTAAATAAATTAAATAAATGGCTAATATATTTACAGATTTTTTTTTCAATTTTGATACAATCATGTGAAAAATTTGGTCAGTTCTGTGTTTGATCAGTTTACAGACTATTATTAAGGCTTTCATAATTATTCTTTCAATTTTATGATAATCTATGACTCTTCTGTACTCAAAGTAGATTTGAGAATAAATGAAACAATGCAGTCGTGACCGGGAAAGTTTCAGTGAACCAGGAAAGAATTGTTTAATTAATTCTGGCTAGAATTGAAGATTAAAATAGAACTACAGTGCAACTGTCATCGGTGTAATGGTTCACACCTCTTAAAAACTCAGACGAAAGAAGAAAATGTCATGTTGGTTCATCCACCTCCTTCCTACATGCATCACAGAAAGCCACAGTGGGGTCAACTCGAGAAACTTGGGAAGGCCATGGAGGAGGCTGAGACAAGAACAGCCATCCACAGCTTGTCTGGAATTGGAGGAGAGAGCTCTGGTGATTTATGATTTCCAGCCATTTCAGACTTTCCCCAAATCATCCCCTTCATGTTTAATTTTTCTCATTCTGCAAAAGTAGAGTTCTTGCTGACAACGTGTGTCTCCTTCAGAGATTTTGGTATTTCAGATCAAGAGTTGAAAAAGTGAAAAAAGTACCTTTGGTGAGAGATGCTTTAAAATTCAAACCAGTTCTGATTAAGATGTAAAACTGAATAGAGATTCCCTGATTTGAATGTTTTAAAGATTTACTCAGAGATCGGATGGATATGGTAATTATGGAACAGAACTGAAGTAGAAGTGAACTGAGTCAACTATTTAAATAATACCAGTAGTAGCATCAGCCTAAGAAACTGATTTACATTTTACTATATCTTTTATTCCTCATGTAATGGCATAAGAAAGTAATTTCTCGATGAAAAATTAATAATAGTATTTTTGAATTTTTCAATTTCCTTTTCTTCATACAGATTTTAAGATAAACAAAAAAATGGAAATGAATTTGTTGTTAGATCACTACTTATATCTTCACTGTGACTGAAAATAGAAAGCATGAAAAATCCAGCATTATTTGAGAATGTACATAACAGTGTGTATTTATCCCTAAATTAATATGCTTATTGTACCTTAAAATCATTTAATTGCATTAAAATGTGCTCCTCGTGTTAAATCTTATGTGTTCTAGAAATACTGTAGCAAAAACATGTTTTCATTTGATCCCATATCAGTAAACAGAATGACTATTTCTATATATGAGAAAAAAACTTTCAAATTTCTGGTTCTGCAATAACTTATTCTAAAGTTTAAATAACACTTCAAGTATAAATGAAAAGATCTGTGGAAATACTCACTGGGTTAAGTTCACTAAACACATATATATTTGATTTCCGCAAGATAAAGTTCTGTTCAAGGATGTGGAAAAATCTATTATTATTTTTAGGTTTAGAAAAGGCTTTCTGATATATAAGTTACATTTGATGAATGTTACACATATCTTAGCACATTATTTTCAAAGGATGTTCTCTTCAGTGTAATATTTTTTAAAAAATCAAAGTAGATGTCTGGAGATAATACCATTACGTAGAGTTCCCGCTCTTTTATTTGCTTTATGATGTTTAAATCACACACACCCATTGATTCCCTTGCGGACGGTGAAGTTTTCCTTGGAGTAACTCAGCCCAGTAGGAGGAGATGCTCACTGGGATTCAGAAATCCCTGCGTGGTGATGACTGTGGTGCGGTGTCAGGTTTCACAGCTCCACCCTGTCAGTAGAGTTGCGGGTATGATGATGTAGCTGGTTTTAAAATGCCTCCCCAACGTCTGAAGTGTGCAGAGGTGAGCTCTGGGGAAAATGATTGAATCATAAGGCCTCTAACTTCATCAAGTGGATTAATATAATTACGAGATTTTAGTTTGACAGCATTTTGGGAGGGGGTGGAAATTTAAGAATCAGAGTCTAGTTAAAGGAGGAGCTCTTGAGAACATGGTCTTGCGGACTACTTCTGCTCAGGGCCTTTCTGTCTCTCTCTCTCTCTCTCTCTCTTTTTTTTTTTTTTTTTTTTTTGTTTTGTCTTGTTTTGTTTTTTTGTGCTCTGCTTTTTCCCTGCCATGGGTGAGCAGCTTTCCTCTAACACTCCCCTCTGCCATGTTTTTGTCTTGTTACAGGAGCTAAAGCAATTGAACTGTCCAACGACTCCTCTGAAGCCATGAATTGAAATAAACCTTTCCCATTTTCAGTTGTTTTTCTCAGGTATTATCCCACAGTGACACAATTATTTATTTAAATCTCGCAATAGCAAGGGATTAGCAAGTGAAACATATTTCCTTGGGATGCCATAGAAGGCAGAAAGGTGGAAAGCATCGTAGTGGAAAAAGACTTCAAGAGTGATTGCTGAGATGAAAATTTAAAAGCAGGGCAAACAGAAGTGGAGTAGCCCATAAAAATTAGTCATAGAGCATATTAGGTTTCTGCTGCTTGGTACGAGAATTAAAGAAAAAAAAGGGGGAAGTTGGAAATTATTGAACAACTCCTAGCTACTTTTTAGATTATTTTTATAGACATGAAAGTATCTAAATGGTGAAAATATCTAAATGGTATATCTAAATAAAAAAAAAATTATCTGACTATTAAGACATTTGCTGCAGAGATTCTGAGCCAAAGCTTTACCTTGACATATAATTTGCTCAGTGTGACCTTGTATGTATTATTTCTTCATTTTGTAATAATGTTCTCAATTGTAGGAGGTTTATTAATGCCTCAGGGGATCCCACAGATCCAGATCTTTAATATTCAGGGCTCATAGAGTCTTCTCCATAGGCAACTGCATTGGTGAAATAACTGAATATCTGTGCTAGATGCATTAAAAATATTTCAAAGAGTAAATTCTTGTATAAGAAAAGGACAGGGATAGAGTGGTTACTTTGAAATGTGGGAAACCATGTAAGTTTGGATTGTTGTTTGATGGGAGTATTTAGTAGGAATACAAAATAAAATGAAGCTTTTAATTAGTGTATTTGAGGAATAAGAAAGAATATCTCAGCATGGTCTCAAGGGTAGAGATGAATTTAAAATACATCATTTGAAACAGACGTGGCGCTGCATTCTGTGTTCTCACCCCTCGAAGCTGAGGATCTCAAAGTCAAGTCCAGGCTCAGCAACATAGGCCTTTAGAGAGAGCCTTTCTGAAAATAAAATAAAAATTAAAAATAAATGCATAAGTAAATAAATGACTTGTCATAGAGTTCAGTGCAAAGGCTGTGGGTTCCATCTCAAGTACCAAGGGAAAAAAGTAAAAGAGAGCATCATTTGTTCTGAATGTCCCAAGCGTCAACTCAACTTGATGATTGTACAAGGTAAGAATAATAATTTGGGTGTGATAGTAGATCAATTAAACTTAGTGGAATTTCTTAGTATTCGTTTTAACTATTTCATTGTACTGATTTTAGACACTTTCTAATATATTTGTTAGAACTATTTGCATAGAGTTGTAAAGTACATTGTATGCATGTATAAAGTTGCTTTCTATTAAGAATACCATTAAATACAATAAAATATTTGTTGTGTATATTTAATGGCTTAATTGAGAAAATCCCCTTAATTATTTAGTTTAATTTCTTTTGTATCAAAGTTTCTGAAATAATATTGAAGAAGGAAAACATTTTAAATGTGCACTAATTCCTGTCACCCATTCCCCTGAATACATTTTTAGCTCTGTTGAAATTTCACTATAAGAAATTTATTTAACATAACACATATAAATACTATCTTCAGTTTTAATATGTTTTTTACAGTTTTGCTGTTTTATTAATCGTGTGATTTAGGGCTCCCTAAGGGATTTAAGGACTTTTAAATATTGCACTGCATTGCATTAGGGCAAAAGTGAAGCATTTCCAAGAGCTATTGTAGCATACCAGATTCCTCATATTGAAATAAAACTAATTATTTCGATAATTAAAAGATGATTTTAGAGTTTGCTTATGTTGTCTACCAGAAATACATTTTCTTAATTAGGAAATGACTCCTACTTTCAGTGAACTTTGTGACTAAGGTTTTACGTACAGAAACATGGGAAATGTATAATTTTATATGAAAATGTGTTACTTCTGCTTAATATGCAATATGGCCAATCCTAGATCCTAGAGAGCATTTTTAAGTACACACTGAAGAGTACTGAGATACTCTTTACTCAAGAAAGGTTTTTGCTTGTGTGTCCCTACTACTGAAGATTATGTATTTTTTTCCACTTTTTGGGATTAAATTTTTGCTTTTGATATTGTCAAGTCATTGTTTAATAAATAATAGAATTATGCAATTAAGTTCATTAAAAATAATAAAAATCCAGACTCTTAATAAATGCCTTCTTAAATTTGAAGTATGCTTGTATCCTGAATGGAATAAAAAAGGAAAGCAAAGCCCAGTGTTTGCTGATTTCTGTATGCCTTGCTATGCTCTGTTTCCTTTCCACCACACCCCTGTGCCATATTACCTGCCTTGGAGCCAGCTGACTACGAACTGACACTGTATAACTTGTGGGGTCAAACAAGCCTTTCTTCCTTTAACCTATAGGTGTCAGGTATTTTGTGCCAGCACTGAGAAAGGAACTAAGACGAGTAACAATGTGTTGTAAAATCTCTCAGAATAGGAAAGAGAATTTGCAATATATTCAAATTTAAATAGAAAGTAGATTTCAAGAGTTTGTACCATAAAACATTAGTTAATGGTAATGCATGTTTATTAATTCTACTCAACCATTTCAAAATGTATGTATATTTAAAATAATCTTCTTCTACATGACAAACATACAGGATTTTGGGGTCAAATAAAATAAATAAAATATGATATCATAAGAGGACACCTTTAACTCAATAACCTTGACTTTCTCAATTTATACTAGCTAAATTATTTTAAATATAGTGGTACTTAAATTCACCAACTTGATTCTTTCCATGGTTTTCGTGGCCAACCAAGTTGGACAAGAACCAAAAGAAATTCAGTAGAACATAATTCTATAGTTTGATGCCTAAGATGTTAATTTGCTGGGGCAACTATGACAAAGTTACACTAAGTGGATGGAAGTAACTTAAAGAAGAGAAATACCACTTGGAACCACAGAAATCTGAAATCAGTGGGTCAGCTGGGGTGAATCTTTCTGAGGAATCTTTGAAGGAGTGGCTATTTCATGTCTCCCTCATAGTTTTCATTAACCTTAGGCGTTCCTTGGCCTGCCTGTAATGTTTTGCTTCAACTTACCTCTGCTTGGTATATTGACCAAATTTTCCATTGGATGATACCAGTAATATTTGACTATCTAAAATGATCTAAACTTTACTTGGTAATCTGTAATAATCCTATTTTAAAGAAAGAGCTCTTTCATAAAGCACACACTGATAGGGTTCCTTTTGTGGGGTACAATTTAATTCATGACACTTTACATGACTATTAGCACTTCAGGAATTATCCAAATAATGAGTGTAGGGAATTTTTGTTATCTTTAAATCTTAAAAAATATTTTGACCTTAATTTACGTCTGTGCTGTACTTAAATTTGAATGATTCAAAGATGAATTCAATATCTTGATGAACTTATATTTAAGCGAAAATCCAACAAATACATTTAATAAGATACATATGTTTATTGGTTAATTTACTATTACATTTAAATTAAGGTTTTTAATTACTGTGGAACATACTTAATATGAACACTTATAACAAGGTATCAAGTGTATCCTAGACCATTACGACAACTTTTCATCCTATTAGTCATACGTCCTGACACAGCTCATAGCTCAGAAAAGAATCCCCGATGTCTACTTCAAGTTATAAAGTTCGTGTTAGCTGAGTTGGAAGAAGTACAAACTAAAGCCAGTTAGGTTGAAGGTTGTAATAAGACTCAGAAGTTCGTGATATTTCTCAAAGCAAAGATCTGGAAGGGAGGGCGGAGGCTAAGAATCCTGTGGTCCATAAATAAAATATCCTGTATACTTAGATGTCTAAGTTTCTTTAGAGAAAACATTTTTCTGTAGTTTTGACAATGAATCAAAGAGCTAAATAATTCAATTTTATCAGTTTTCTGATCCCAAATAAATGTGAAATGACAGAAGAAGAAAGCAAACTCAGAAGGAAATCAGACATCTGGGGAAGCCTAGAGTTATCATTGACACTTTGGGAAGACATAAGAAAATATGCTTAATGTTAAAAGTATATTTCATATGTGAGAAAAATAATGAAATAACAATGGCAAAGCCAAATTTTAACCTAAAGATATTAACTTTATATAAAGATTAATAAATATTTTTTAAAAATTATGTGAACACAGAAAATGTTAAATTATTTTCTAAACAGTGCTTATTTATGGCTGTTAGTACAGGTATGATTTTCAATAGGATTTTTGATATAATATGTTTTTGTGTGTATTGATACTTGAAGCAAATGGAAGGTGAAAATGTTGTGTGTATGTATATATACGCACACACATACACACAAATATATATATTGTTATAGCCTATGTGTAGATATCCCCACAAAGCTTGAGGCACTCATAGATGGGCATTTGGGGAGGTGGCTGCATCAAGGGTGTGTGATACTGGATTTTGAGTGTGTGATTTTGGCTTTGTTCACTATTTGGTTTAGCAGTTGTTCATGTGGTTGATGGACATTCTGAAGAGGGAAGATTCACCCTGGATGTGGGCAGCACTGACCCATACATAGCCTTAGACTTTCAGCTTGGATGAAATAAAAAGGAAAATAAGAAAAAGGGAACTTTGCTTTCTGTCTGCCCTTGAATGAACTGTTTCTTCTCTGTGATGCCCCTCTGCCATGTCTTCCTGCCTTGGAGCCTGCTGACTGTGGACTGAAATGCCTGCAAACTGTGAGCTAAAATAAACCTCCTCATTTAACTTGTGGGTGTCAGGTATTTTGCCCCAGAGACAGGAAATCAACTCAGATATATATCTTATACATTAACTAAGATATATATCGCCTGTAGCACAGACATATATTACAAATAATATATTTGGTTGATAAATTATATAATATATGATTAATCATGAGGTATTAATTATGATAATTATTAATATATTTTATGTGCACATATACATTTTGCATTACTCATCCTATTATAATAATTATATCAGTATCAAGAACGTGATAAAATTTTAGTGTGTGAATATATAGGTTAAATATTTCTATGTTATTTAATGATATTATTATTGAAGATTCTGTTTTTACTTTCCAAATAAAACATCTTGAAATCGTTTTTTCCATCTAGGGTCATATAATAAATGACATAAGATTTGTGTAACAAAAATATTTATAATATGTTAATTTCTTATAAAATTATTTAAAGATGTCACAACATATATTTTTAAAATCGCGGCTTCACAAAGATAGGTTGAAGGCTGAATCTACCCTATGGGCAATCATTTCCATGTATTTGAAAGAGAATAAAATGATTGTCTATGTCAATAAAAATTACTTTCAATATATTTTAAGGCGTACTGATTTCTCAAGCATACAAAACGTATTTAATTTGTGTTCCAATATGTCTTCCTGATAGTAATTTTTCTATTCAGGATTATTTGTAAGCATTTAGGTATCATTTCACTGTATAATCAAAATAAAACACAACCTTGTTTTTCTTGTTCACTATCAGTCTGACTGTTACACCCTCACTATCAAGAGTAGCATCTCTGCCCATCAGTTGGAAATTGGATAAAGAAGATGTGTTTTTTCTATAAAATGGAATACTACTCAGCCATAAAGAATGAGAAAGTAGATTCATTCATAGGTAAATGAGTACATTTTGAGGATAGACTCCTAAGTGAAACAAATAAGTCACACATATGCAAATACCGAAGAGTTTCTCTGGTGTAAAAAACTAAAATAGCACTCAAGATCCTAACGGGACAATTAACAATGTGAAATAGAAAGAAAAGGACCAGGTGTAGGGA